TAGATCCAGCACTGCTGTCATATGTTTAGATTGGAACGATCTTTTAGAAACCAATTAATGAACGGTTCAAAGTTAATTGAAGGTTTTACAACAGATGAGCTTCTTAATGTTTCAAGTTGCGCCCATAACTCGCCTGCCATAATTTGGGTAACATCATATATTTAGCTATTTAAATGGAAATAACATTGTATTTTTTAAATATAAGTAATATCTAAATTATCCGCACAAACTAGGTATCTAAATCATGTTTTTTATATAAAAATTTTATTCTCATTGTTAATTTTATTTTGACCAAAAAGTTATAAAAATCCGTAAAAAATGGCAATTTTTGAAATATTTTATTTTTAAATAAAAACACTATCTCTATATCTGTAAGGTGGGGAGGATGGGGGAAAATCATCCACTGAACGGTAATATATTTGTTGGAACGACTAACTCTAAACTATAGCGCAAGATTAGTACAACGTACAGATTGTTTTTCGCTCTGTTGGAACAAATCTAAACCTAAGTTAATAATAGTAAACATAATTATTGGAAGAACAAAAAAAATACGTCCAATACAGTAATTAATATTTTTATTAGTAGAATTTACTATTATATAGGTTTAGTTTAATCTGAAAATAATAGGCAGTAATATAATGTCAGGAACTTGTGAACAATATTAACTGACATTTGCCATATGCATATTCATTATATACCAGTCATTGAAAAATTTCTTGTCCCAATAACTTCCGAAATCTCAACCGAACTTTCGCGCAATAAAAGATTGACAGACATAGAAATAGATAACAAAGCATTCTCCACACATTCCACTACTTCCTATAATTTCCGGATTCAATTACTGTATAGTTAAATTTCAAATTGAAAATGCCCGCAAGTATTCTCGTTAAATAAAGCTTATTCATAAAATAGTGTTTTTTTAATTAATCATAAATTAACACCAGAGCTGAGACGAATCCTCAAAAAATTGATTCGAATCACAAATCTGAATCACGAGATGTGATTCGAATCACTGATCCTATGTCCTAATCCTTTTTGAAATAAAAAAGGATTCAAATCAAGTGATTCGAATCCATTTTTTAAATAAATTAAATAAAAAAATCCCGGCCAACGGTGGGATTCGAACCTGGGACCCTTGGACCAGCAGGCAGAGACTCTACCACTGAGCCACCCACCCCCTCTCAGCCTTACTATTTTGATCTTTGTTAGGGATGGGAAAGAGATGGAAATGTAGAATTCGTTTGCTTTGAGAACAGCAGGGGGTTATTCTCTAACTTTTAGCCGAAAACGCATAGCAACGAAAGCGTTAAGTGGACTTCTCAACAAAGTCACCAAAACGACAAGAATACTATTATGGTATTCTCTAATGCTAGACGATTTTGCTATTCGTAAGTGATTTTAATTTTTGTCGTAAGCTGTCATAATTATAAATCGTAAATGCTGATTGGTCTAAATATCTAAGGTTAGGATTTGAATGACATTTCCTAGATAACAATTATATAATCTTAGCGTATTCTTAGTATATACTTTTTAAGAACTTGCATATTCTGAGAATATACCTTATTTGCATTTAGTACATTCTCAGAATATACTAAGTATATGTTGCGGGACGTTTATACGTGCTATGCACATACTGAGAAAATGTACTTCAAGTAACTGTACAGTATGCTATATGTAATAAGTATCTATTTTCATTTGATAGTACGTTTTAAATATTATGTGCTAAGTATTTAAATTTAGCATATACTAGGCATACCTATACTAGACACCCTAATACAGGATGTTTAATTAATATTGAACATTAAAGAATAAGTATATAATAAAAATCGTGAACATTTTTTAATGATAGGATTCTGGGAAATATTCTAAAAGCTACAGAATCTGTAAGATATAGTAATGTAATGTAATTTTTTATAGATTTTGACTTGTACAGATCTTATAAATTGTCTCAGAATCGACACATAAATCTTTATTTCCAAAAATTCATTATTCTTATTTTTATTACAAACTATTTCTTTGGCCATAACCAACCAATATTTTATTTTATTGATGGCTTGGATGTGTTTCTTTTGCTTGCTTACATTGGATCTTCATTAAATCTAAAAAATAAAAAAGTCAATAAACTTTGTACATGTACAAACAATTAAGTGTACATAACTAATGGAATATTTTAAATATATTTGTCGAACGCAAAACATTCAAAATTGTACATGGCATTCTACTAACAAAAAAAAGAGATGCATAAATGATTATTATGTTTAGTAAAAGTTTAAGTATATTTTTATTAATTACTTACTACCATTTTGTAGTTTTCGTCCTTATTTAGCTAGGTAATTTTATAGTTTTTATTAATATTTGGGATATGTGTTCTAACATCATTTGTAGGTCCTAAATACTAAAAATAATGCCAACCTTAAGCGTGATCATAAAATATGTTGGTTATATAATTCTCTTCTGGAATGATTTTTAGCCTGAACAAACAATATTAGTGCGTATGCTAGCGAATTATCAGATCGGCATCTGGGAAAAATTCATATAGATATGTATAAACGTATTTTTACATGTATTTGGTGTTAATTTTTACCTGCAAGCATTTAGAACGTTCTCAGAATATGAGGTACATGCAGGGTATACTTTCAGTATCTTCTAAAAATGTCCTGTTATAGCACGTGCTCAGTACATATTATACTTTTTAAAGTATACTTTTAAGGCACGTATTCAGTACCTATATATTTTTTACAATATACTTTCAAAATATATATTAGGTACTAAGTACGCATTCTATAAAGAACATACCAAAAAACATAAACAGAAGGTTCTTATTACATTCATAGAAGATTGATGTTATGTATAGGTTTGACATTTTTATAATTATAAACTACTAGAATATATTGAAGCCAATTCCAAAATTATAAGGAATCAAAAACATAATAAACAGCATACTGTTACGTTTGTTTATTTTAAACAACAGTTTATTTATTAATAATTTATTTAAACACTTATTTATTTTAAAACAATACTATTCTAATTTATATATATTTCGAATGTCGTTGAACTGTTCACTATTTATCTTCACTGTCCATATATCTGTATCTGACTGCGTTGTTCCTCCACCAATATTTATATACAAATTTAAAATTATGGTGAAGGTTCTAGAATGTTCTTCGCCAAAACTAGAAACATCCCGTTCTTTCTCGAATAGTAATCGAAAGCGCCTCCGCCATAGTCGTCACATATGTTTGGTCTTAAGGGGTTTAATTATGTATGATAATCGGACAAGTTGAGCCTCAAAGGCCAAATAAAACAGAGGGACTTGGAGGATTAGAGCATGACTGAATAATGAAATGGCTCACATTATAATAAATACATTTGCTGAGATTTTAATATTTAGGTTAATATTTTAATATTTGACTTGTCTACATCCGAAAATAAAACTTAAAGTGCGAAGAGCAAAACGCTACTCATGTGTAACTTTTTTGAGAGCCCTTTACTTTTTTCAAATACGAACAGCACAGCAATTAGAGAATATCAAAACGTTTATGCTTTACACTTTTGTTAGTTGTTTGTCGTGTTTCTAGAGTGCTTTCAAAAACGCTGGTTAGAGAATAAGCTCCCAGGTACGTCATCGATTGTGACCCGGCGCCCGACTACTGTCGTTGGATTGATGGATCAACATCGTTATTATTCTACCAACGCCAAATCACTTTCATAGGCGTCCATTGGTTTATTGTTTTAATTTTTTTTTGCTTTTCCACTGTATGCAATCTGCGAGGATATATTTCATAGAGTCCGTATTTAATACAGGGCCATAGCATCCGAAATAGGGCACTCCGCCGTTATGGCTAAGTCGAGGGTATAGGGTAGTCATCAGAGACGTAGGTGAACAGGGGTCGAAAATTATTTTCGCGTTATAACAGTTTTTAACCCTCGGGCGGGTGCGATATGGGCATTGTGTGCTGCTTTTTCAATAATTTACAGATTCCGAAGACATTAATTGCAGCTCATTTTCCGTCTAGCTATGCTCAAATGACTATATTTGGCAACCTATTATGCAGAAACGAAGGCGGTTTATATTTTCATCAGTTATCACTGAGACGTTGAAGTAATAGATGTAATTAAATTAATTCTTGTTTTTTTTCCAGTAATATTACATTACTCAAAACAATCACAAATTTTTAAAATATGTTTCTTTATTTTGCATTTACCAGGATTAGGACGTCTTGAGAGTCTTCTTGCCTTAGCACTCTACTTATTGACGATTGGGTAACTTTTAAAATCTACGCAATTCCGATTTGATTGTATCCTTTAGTATACAGAGTAACGGCCAGCCGTACGTGCCTAAGGATTTTTTAAATGTCTAATAATAATACGTCTATTGTTTTCATTCATATCTCTAATTTTAAAAAATAATCAATTTTTGCAAAATTTTACTGTCAATTGATCAAAGTAATAGCACAAAAAAAGAACAAATAAAAACAAAATACAAAAACAATATCTGCATAAAAAATATATATTTCTTTGGCACGAATAATACGTTAGTTTATCAATTTTACCAGTTCATTATTTTATACCGGGTTTTTTGCAGCAAAACAAATTAAATTACATTTCTTTCGTTTTGGGGATAAAAGACATTAATAGTTATTTATTATACAAGAGAAAATAGTATTACATTTTAGCCCGAGAGCTAAAATATAATATTTTTACTGTGTACCGGGCCTTCTTCGATCCTATTTGGCGAGGCCCATGGGAGACACACAGCATTCTACAAATCTGAGGCACATACTATAATACTCTTCACAGACTACTGTGATACCGTGTGAAACGTATAATAACTAAAAATAACAAAAAATAAAAAATATAACGCAAATAAAGCTTCTAGGGTTGGGGTGGTTCTGCGCTTACCTCTTATAAAAATTGGCGACAGTTTCTTTCTGTTCAAAAAATGTATCAAAATCATTCAGAAAATACCAATTATGAATTTAATTTGATTTAATTTCTAGTATCGCTGTCGGTATAGATCATATAGCCGAATTGGTGGATATGTCTCTAAAAAACGTTTCAAAGTCTAAACAAAGTTTGATACAATCAGGAAGGGTTGTTTTGGTGACTGGAGATGGAAGACTAGGATATCCAGAATATGCCCCATACGACGCTATACATGTTGGTGCTGCAGCGGCCGTTTTACCTGAAGCTCTGGTTGAACAATTAAAGGTATTCGTAATTACTCGTAAATATGGTTTGATAATTGTTTTTGTTTTAATAAAATAATTCCTATAATTTATGTTGACAAGCCACTCTCCTATTAATTAAAGTGTGCTGCATTTTTTATGTACCACGTTTAGATTGTTCTGTGATTGTTATCTCTTTCGCAGTCTCCTAAATTAGGTTAGGAAACAGGCTAACACAGAGGATTATTTCATAAGCTGGAAACCGAAACACTTTTATCAACGACTTGGACTTTTAAACTGAGATGGGAATACATTATAAAATTACTAGGAAACTAATGTTGGATTAAAATAAAAATGTGCTTTATTGACATTTCATAAATTTTGGTCTGAAAAACAAAATTTTGCCATGGCAAACTTGTTTTTTTTAGTCTGTTATTCGGTCGATATTCGACGAATCAAATTTGAATGATTAATGATTTAGAGTATTTTTTAAGGAAGGCGGAAGATTAGTAGTACCTATAGGTCCTTCAGCAGGGATTCAACGAATTCAAATAGTAGACAAAAATTTAGAAGGCTGTGTTAAAGAGAAAAAAGGAATGAAAGTAACATTTGTCCCATTAACCGACAGAGATAAACAATATCGGCCATGGCGTTGAATTTTTGTTTTCGATATACCTACAAAGTTTTTTACTGTATTAAATTGCGATTTTTTGGAATATGTTATGATTTTTATATCGTAACTTTATAACACTCAACAACGATTAGAGATTAGACAAACGAAATTAAATAATTTAGTAATTTATGCCTATTTTTTAAGCCGGGTGGAAGACTAGTAGTACCTGTGGGCCCTTCTTCAGGAGTCCAACACATGACAATCGTTGATAAACTTCCTGATGGAACTGTTAGAAAGAAACATGGTATGTCAGTAACGTATGTTCCTTTGACGGATAAAAGACTTCAGTGGAGATAACAACGCATCTTTTGTTTTTTTACATTTAAATTCACACCTTTTTGTAAACCATTTTAGAAATATGTATTTACTATAGATTATTTTTTCGAATTTTATTCGGTGAAGGCGTTTATTAAAATTTTTCGATTTTGTATTTTAACAGGCAGTGGGTGAAACATACAACATTGATGATATTCTGCTTTTTAGAACTTTATGTGCGCATTCGTTCAAAATGTTCATCTTCTACATATTATTTCAGACATTTTGAAACATGTATAGGTACTTAAACCACTTAAATGTCGTTAAATGGGCTTAGTGTTTACCAATCAAAAATCTCTTAGCATTCAGTAGGCGAAGAAATATAATAAAAACAGTAGTGCCTATTTTACGTACGGTAGGTGACGTATAACACTACAAGTTGTTTTACGAACGAGGCGACGCAGTAGCCGAGTTAGGAATACAAACGAGTACTGAAGTAACACCTAAAAGACCTGTAGCATATAATTTATTTCATCCTGTTTTTATAATCCTTTTTAATGGTTATTTAACGAACAAGTGTATTAATAAGGGCGATTAACAATCGAAATAATTTAACGCGTGAGCAGAGCGAGCGCGTTAATGTTCGAGATTGTTAATCGCCATTTTAATTCACGAGTTCGTTACAGAACTTTTCCGTCAACCGTACTTTTAAAAAATAAAGATATCTTACTTTTATTTTTATTTATTTAACGAGAAACAACAATTACTATTTTCTATTTATATTAACTTTATTTACAGTTAGTTTAATTTTTCTCAGTAGTAGTTTTATTATTGTAAATATTTATATTAGAAATTGAGCAATTACTAAAATTAAATGAAGGAATTGATAAATCGTCGGTCTAAAGCACACTTATTGTATATCCAAAAATGCATTTTTGGACAATCGCAAATTTAAACGTCTAGAAAATGTAATTAAATGCCTTAATTCTCAGTTTTAATTTGAATTTATTGTAGTTTGGTGGGTGTTGGAGCCATGTTGGAGCTACAATGTTTGTGCCCAATAAAGAAGACTAAAATACGATTTAATTGGTACCAAGATCGTTATTACATTAAATTTGGAGTTACAATATGTGTGCTTTAGATCGACGAAATGATTATCTGCTGTATAGCATTTTGATAAATTTACATTTAAGTCCTCTTGGACTTTTGTGATAGACGAAGAAGCGGTGGGGCTGAAGGAAGTATTTTGACAAGTTTAAGTGGTATTTTTACAGCAAGCAATGCTACATATATATCTGCCTGCAGACTATTTTCTAATAAATTACTTTATCGGAGCTAGTCATGCCGCGACACGTAGGGCGAGAGAAAAATGTTCTCTCATCTCGACGAGAATGTGCTTCTCTCGCTCGAGAGAGCCTTTATCTCGTCTCGTTTTTATCGTAATAAAACCATATGTCAAATTTAAATTTGGAAAAGATATACCTAGAACGAAACATAAATGACATGGAAAATAATTTTTCTTATAAATCACAATTTATAAAATCCCAATTACATACGTATTATTTATTGCCTTTTATTATATAGAAAATACCTGTATTGTAGTTAACTTTTTGACTATCTGGAAATTTGACAGATTTAAATTTTAAGTTACGATAAGCAATTGAAAATGTCAAGTAAGCAAAAAGTAAATTGGTCGAGAGAGCTCGAGAGAATCGAGAAATTCTCCTCGAGAGATGACTCTCTCTCTCTCTCGTCTCGTTTCGTCTCGCGGTATCACTAGTCTCGGTATAGTACGAGCAAGAGATATAGTGTGACTTTAAAGCTTCAAAGCCAGACGGCAACATACAAAAAAACTAAGGACACTGATACATTAAATATAGTAGAGTATTCAAGAGAATGAGTATACTTAGTTTATTTTTACTTCCTTCGATAAAAGGAAAGTATTGTAATCGTGAAAATTTAGATTTTTACGTTTTCGGGTCCCTAGATTACAAAAAACATGTTTTCTTCATTCCGTCGGTTTATCTACCGTCCGCCGTCTGTTATCAGCCGTCTGTCTGTTGGCGCGATAGCTCAAAAACGGCTTGCGAGAAAAACTTCAAATTTGGTATGCAGGTAAGGCTTCCTCTTGGCTCAAAACCGGTTATACTTTCGGTCAGATATATACAGGGTGAGCAATTAAAAAACATTTATTTTTAAAAGTCAGCAGTTTTTGACTAAAATTGGTTTCTGATAAAATTGTTATCTGATTAAAGATAACAGGTCATGAATTACTTTTTCAAAATTCAAAATGGCTTCCCTGTTTTTACAATTTATACAGGGTGTTTTTAATGGTATGATAATATTGTAGGGTGTGATTCCTCAGGTCATTTAATGAAGAAAAGTTTATATGAACAAATGTCCACAACGGCTTCAATTTTTTGCTACAGGGATTTGAAAATTTGTTTTCTAAAGACATATTTTTTAATATCTCTGAAAATAGTTTAGATATAACTTTCAATTTTGACTTGTGTTAATAGGATATAAAACCACATATTTTAGTCAGAAAATTTATTTTATTGCTCTACCAGTGGCGTCTCTGCAAACATGTCATCTGATATTTTCTACAAAAAAGGTAGTATGACACTTGACATTTTTCCATGTTGATATTTTTATTTATTTTACTGGTCAATTCTACATCAATACGGCACCATGTATTTTTCTTGCCAGCCACTCGGTTCTAGATTAAAATAATTAAAATTAATCGACAATACTGCAAAATGAAGAAATTTTCATTTAATTGATGAACGATAAGATAAACGCTACTGGTAAAGTAATAGAATAATTTTTTCGTCTAAAGTATGTGGTTTTATATTCTATTAAAAATACAAAAATAAGGGGAAATCTCAATAGAGTATGTCCATGGTATTCAGCAATACTATCTATGGCGTATACTTTTTTAAATTGTTTCGTCCTTAAAACTTTAAAAAGTTCTTCTTTCTTATAGCTGTCTTCAAAATACAAATCATTGTCCATTAGAAAATTTTGTATATTCGCTTTCGTCATCGTGTTGAATGTACTCCTAAACAATCTGCGTCTTGACTAACTCGTCGACAATTATAAACGATTCTTACTCAATGCAGTGCAGGTGGCTGGAAATACAACCGGCAGGAGCGGACTAGGTTTGTGAATAAACTTTTAGAAAATTAACTTAGTTCGTTGTACATTCTTTTTCTGATTTTTAAAATGTGAGATAAAGAAGAGGTGGTGAATAAAACCGTGCAACTAAGCACACCCGAAGCTAGACAAATTTTCTTGTATTTACGCCTTATGTTTGGAATTATCTCAAAAGGAAAGAAAGTGTTACACGTATCTAAATATTACGTTGAATATTATAAATCAAAACAAGATGTTGATGTTGCTTGAACAGCATTTTCTCGAGTTGTTTGAATCCTCTTATTGGGTGATATGAATAAAAATCTGATATGTCCAATACATGACTTTCCTATTTAGTTAATACAGGCTTTCTCCGGTTATTTTGTACAACCTATAATGCAACACCTTTGTAAATGTTTAGAGGATAAACTAAATATATACATTTTCCATATACTTCTAACTCGAAACATTTTCGTTGGCAATGAATATATACATATAAAAAATGGCTAGCTTCGGGTGTGCTTAGTTGCACGGTTTTTTTCACCTCCTCTTCTTTATCTCACATTTTAAAAATCAGAAAAAGAATGTACAACGAACTAAGTTAATTTTCTAAAAGTTTATTCAAAAACCTAGTCCGCTCCTGCCGGTTGCATTTCCAGCCACCTCCACTGCATTGAGTAAGAATCGTTTATGTCTGCCGACGAGTTAGTTAAGACGCAGATTGTTTAGGAGTACATTCAACACGATGACGAAAGCGGATATACAACATTTTCTAATGGACAATGATTTGTATTTTCAAGACAACTATAAGAAAGAAGAATTTCTTAAAGTTTTACGGACGAAACAATTTAAAAAAGTATTCGCCATAGATAGTATTTTTAATAAGATATAAAACCATCTACTTTAGGCGAAAAAGTTATTCTATTGCTTCACCAGTGGCGTTTATCTTATCGTTCATCAAATAAATTAAAATTTCTTCATTTTGCAGTATTGACGATTAATTTTAATTATTTTATTCTAGAACCGAGCAACTGGCGAGATAAATATAAGATGCCGTTTTGATGTAGAATTGACCAGTCAAATGAGTAAAAATATCAACATGGAAAATGTCAGTGGAGTAATACTTTTTTTGTAGAAAATATCAGATTACATGTTTGCAGAGACACCTCTGGTAGAGCAATAAAATAAATTTTCTAACTAAAATATGTGGTTTTATATCCTGTTAACACATGCCAAAATTGAAAATTATATCTAAACTATTTTCAGAGATATTAAAAAATATCTCTTTAAAAAACAAATTTTCAACTCCCTATAGCAAAAAATTGAAGCCGTTGCGGACATCTGTTCATATGAACTTTTCTTCATAAAATGACCTGAGGAATCATACCCTACAATATTAGCATACCAATAAAAAATACCCTGTATAAATTGTAAAAACAGGGAAACCATTTTGAATATTTAAAAAGTAATTCATGATCTGTTATCTTTGATCAGATAACAATTTTATCAGAAACTAATTTTAGTCGAAATCTGCTGACTTTTAAAAATAAATGTTTTTTTAATTGCTCACCCTGTATATATCTGACCGGAAGTATAACCGGTTTTGAGCCAAGAGAAAGCCTTACCTGCATACAAAATTTAAAGTTTTTCTCGTAAACCGTTTTGAGCTGCCGCGCCAACAGACAGACGACGGAATGGAGAAAACATGTTTTTCGTAATTTAAGGACCCGAAAACGTGAAAATCTAAATTTTCACGATTACAATATTTTCCTTTTATCGAGGGAAGTAAACATTAAAGAAGTAGGTATACTCAATTTCTTGAATGCTTCTCTGCTAATTTAAAGGCGATGTATCAGTCTTCTTAGTTTATTTGTATGTTGCCGGCTGGCTTTAAAGTTACACTATATCTCTTGCTCGTACTATACGCATTTTTATAGTCTGCTATGACTGTTTTTATTTTCTTTGAATTATGACGAGTACTTCTATTGTAAGTCTTAAAAAACCTGTATAGTTAAATATAATATTTTGTCTTATATTTTTAAGTAACAACTTGTCAAAAATTTATAGTCTAAAATCAGCTAGGTATCTGATACTGTTATGTTCCATTTACCGGCCGTAAATGAGTAAAAGGTAAGTAGATTTACTGGACAGGATGAAATAAAAATATTTTTAAATAGAAGTCTGTAAAAATTTTAAGGTGAAATTCTCTAACATTTCTATTTATGCAGTGTGACAATTTAAAAACTTACAAACGAAAGATAATATCAAAAAATGCTAAAAACCGTTTCCAGAATGACATAAGAGAACAAATTTGTAGTT